CACACGCGGGGGGAGAGGCCCCTGCAACACGGCCCTGCAGGCACCTAACAGCAGCCGAACAGGCCACCGTCTGGGGCCTCACTGACTCCAATCAGCTAAGCAAGCAGGTGCGCGCCGAGCGCAAAATACTTTATTTAACAATTTGCAATGTACCAATTTTTATTTAGGAAAAATAGCCCCTCCGGGGAAGCTTCTTGAATCAAGTTACTAACAGAACAAGGGGCTGGAGAAGCCGAGGGCAGCAGGTCTCAGGCCTCAGGAACCCCACCCCCTGGACAGGGGCAGCGGGACCCTTGCGAGGCCGGGCCCTTCCCAGTGCGAGAACACGGGTCCCATCACACCTGTGGGCGCCCCAGACGGTCACGTGACCCGGAAAGCGGGAGGACCTGCCCCGAGGCCACATTCCCACGACCCTCCGCTGAGGTTTAAAATACCAGGCAGAACTACAGAATTAGTTCCTAGTGATTTTATAAATATCTCCACCTGTCCTCGGCCCTTCAGGCTTAACAAGGTGAGTGGTTCTGAGAACCGTCGTGAAGGTGGAGCTGGAGGGAGCCCGGGGGGAGGAGGCCTTGGCAGGTTCGCACGGTGGGCAGCGGTCGGCCCTGCCGGGCTCGGTGTGGGGAGACCAGGGCAGAGGTCAGCTTCAGGAACTTCTGGCAAGAAGGTATGTTCAGCCACTTTCGTCAAGATGTCGCCAACAGTGCCAGCCAGGCGAGGGCACGTCGCTGGAGGGTGCAGAGCTGGCAACCACACAGCTGCTCTGCCGGAGCCCAGCCAGGCTGCTCACTGAGCCCCCCAGGTGAGCCCAGTCAGGGCTTCCACAACGGCTGATCGGCGAGGACCAGTCCCACGGAACCCAGGCTGTGCCGTGGCTGTTCCTCCCTCGCGGGCGGACAGAGCCAGGCCCCTGGCTGCAGGGACCCTCGTGGTCCTGCTGGGCCGCAGACACGCCTTTGCTGCGGGAGGAGGGCACCACGCTGACCACGGCGTCTCCGCCTGAGGCTCGGCTGCCAGGCCGCCACCGCCTTCCCTCTGAGGCTGGTGAACACACCCGCCAGCGACTGCTGTCGGGGCTGCGGGCGCCGGGGCGGGAGCTGGCCCAGTGGCTGCAGAGCAGGCGTCGGGGCCACTCAGTCAGGCCTGCTCTTCCCTCCAGCGTCTTCGAGGAACTGAGGATGAACCTGGCAGCTACTCGCCATCATGAGTCCCTGCAGCTCAGCTCCCCAGCAGCAAAGGGCGTCCGGCTGTGCTCAGCACAACATTCCTACGTGACTACAAAGGCTTATCCTGAACTCATTCTTAGGTAGAAGGGGAGCCGAAGGTCCCTCCTGTCCTCGGATCTGGGAGCTGTGGGTACCTGGCAGCTCTTCCTCACCAGGTGCGAGCACGTGGCTCTGCTGCGTGTCCATCGGGCACAGGAGGGAGGCCGGGCAGTCAGCCGAGTGTCGGTGGAGAGCAGTCTCGGGTCCCGTGCTGACGGCGCAGGGTCATCTACCTCAGCACCGGGTACTTCCTCTGGCCAATCCTCCCAGGCCTGGCGCTCCCCGAGGTGGCTGAGGCCTGAAACGGCATGGACAGCACTGACTCCGCCGCCCCCGAGGTGGGTGCCCCTCGCGAGGGCTCAGGGTGCTGTGACGTGGGCCTGGGTGACAGGCCAGCACCCCCGACGCCCTAAGGGCAGGTTGCTCTGCCCCGTTTTTGCAGCCATGACCGCGGGCTGCGTCAGGGTCAGGTCCTGGGGTCCCTTTAAAGGTGCAGCCATTTGTTAGGGGCTCAGAGGGAGCCAATCCCAAGGGCTGAGCATCTGAGGAGAAAGACAGGCACTGACTTGCTCCCTCGCAAACCAGACTGACGTGCAGGCTGAGGGCTCCTGTGGAGGGTGAGCTGCAAGATCGAGGTCCGGGAGGGAGACCCACCACCCCATCCTGAAGTGGAAAACAGATGGGTCCCAGGCGGGAACAGGCCTTGGCCCTGGGAGGGGGAGGGGAACAGAGGCCAAGAAAGGGCCTCCTGGGCAGCTGCCCAGCGCAGAGGGCAGCAGGGCAGCCTCTGAGTAAGGAGGCTGGGCACACCGGGCGGCGGGCACACCGGGCGGCAAGGCAGGGTGTGCCCCAGGGCGCAGGTGAGGTTTCCATTCTCAATGCCCAGAGCTCTGTAGATGCCTGTCCCCCAGCTCCCCTGACCTGGCAGCCAGTCTGTGCTGCAGAGGCAAGAGCCTGGGAGGGAGGGGAGTGGGAGGAGCAGTCAGGAACAGCCTTCCTCTCTGAAATCAATATACCGTATTTGCCGGCGTATAAGACGATTTTTTGGCCCTGAAAAATATGCCTCCAAGTGGGGGGTCGTCTTATACGCCAGGTACACTTCAGATAGACTGCCCATAGTGCTTGCCCCATGCCATAGTGGCCTCCCGATGCCCGCCCACTTCATTCCACATACCGTTCAGGCATCAGCAGCGCTGCTGGGTGTATGCTCGGCTGTTATGCGATTTTGCTGTTATGCGATTTTACCACACTCGCAAAATCGCACAAAGGACGTGGCCACCAGGGGGCGCAGCACGGCCGGCGCAGCCAGGGAACCGCCGTGGGCACAGCAGCAGCAGGAGCAGGAGCGGCAGGACCCGAGGCCGGGCCGGGCCGGCGCTGGGCCTCCCACTC